AAGGAACCTGTATAATTTATGTCAAACCACTCAGACTTCAACAAACATTCTTCAATCACCTATCTTCCCTTACCCAGAGCATGACAACCCGGTTACATTCTGCTAGTATCATACTTTTCTATGGCTCCTACAAAGAGCAGTTGTTATACAATTAGAAACATTGTAAAACAGACAGAAAGTGCCTGTAGCAAGTGTTAAAAAATGATAAGCTTAGGATCCAAGAACTTGTGGGACATAGCAATACCAGGGTACTCTTCATATAGAAAAGACAGTGAACGCAAGAAAGGGGAGGGTGGCCCTGTATGTGAAGGATAGCATAAAATCTAACCTAATAAAAGTTAGTGAGGTGAACAGAGTCCGTTTGGGTTACGTTACAATTTGGTAATCACACAGTAACTCGTGTAGGTGTGATTTATAGGCCCCCAGGACAAATAGAAGAGTTAGATAATCTCCTAGTTGAGGAAATAACTAAAATGACAATAAAGGGGGATGTTATCATCATGGGTGACTTTAATATTCCTAAAGTGAACTGGAAAACCAAAATAGCTGTTTTTGCCAGGAGCACACATATTCTAAACTCCCCACTGGGATTGTCTCTAAAACAAGTAATGGAGGAGCTAACTTTTAAAGAGGGCATACTAGATTTAGTGTTAACAAATGGATATTTGGTATCAGATATTACTGTAGGCGAAAGTTTAGGATCCAGTGATCAGTCAGTTAGTGTGGTTTAATATAAGAACAGTGACGGAGTCACAGCACACAAGAACAAAAGTTTTAGACTTTAGAAAAACAGACTTTTCTCATTAATAATATGTGCAAAAAGGAGTCATTGTCAGACTAGAGCAGTTTATATGGAGTCCAAGAGAAAATGGGATTATTTAAAGGTTGCACAGCTGAAGGCAACAGAAAATTGCAATAGGCTTGACAGTAAAAGCAAACTGTTTAAGAAACCACTGTAGTACTCCGCAGATGTAGCCAAAATAGTAAAAAAAAAAAAGTTAGCATTTAGTAATTATAAAAAAAAAAAAAAATTTTTTTTAGATACATACATGAGAAAAGGCAAGTAATACAAGGATTAGTTAGACTACAAACAAAATAAGTAAGGTATGTAGAAGAGGATAAAGGTCTAGCTGACTGCCTCAATTAATATTTTTGTTCAGTCTTTACAGATGAAGGAAAGGGACCTCAGTTAGGTAAAAGAACAAATTAGTCATTTGTTACATGTGAGTTTACAGAGGAAAAGGGTCTATTTCAACTGTCAAAAGTAAAGACAAATAAGTCAATGGGACCTGATGGAATACACCCAACGTTATTGGCTAGTGGTTTACTAGCAAAACCATTAACAGATTTATTTAACAAATCATTGTTAACAGGAACAGTCCCAGAAGATTGGAAGTTAGCGAATGTTGTGCCCCTTCACAAGAAAGGTAGTAGGGAGGAGTCGGCAGCTATAGGCCAGTAAGCCTTACTTCCATATTGGGAAAAGTAATGAAAACCATGTCAAAGGATAGAATTTTACCACATGACAGGAGGCTTTGTATTTTGCATCTCTCTCTTTACTAACTCCATACAGCAGTAAAGAAACACATAGAAAAAAGAACCAATTACATGAGAGCAGGACGTACACAAGGCAATGTGACCTCATCATTTCCTCTTTCTTTACTGCTCCATCAAGCAGACAGGTCAGAGTATTACTCTTCTCCATTACTTTATGTTTACAGTGACTCTTTGAGGTTGTTTCTGTATTATATTTTTATATACTTTACTGTATGTTCTTGCTGTGCTTCTGTAATATGTGCAGCTATGTTTTTTCTATGTTATTTCATAGATATTATGTAGATTTAACATTATCCATATGTCATAACCTTTACTTGTGCTTAATATCACTTGTAATTTATCAGTTTTATAGGCATTTCATCCTTTGTTTTGATAAGTATTATATGTACTTTATATGTATTTAATAGAGGTCATATGTATTTTATAACATGGATTTAATAGGTGTTAGGTGTAAATTTTATTATTGACTTAATAGGTTTTATGTATAGTTATGGTAGATGTACTTTATACAATATGTATTATGGCTTTTCTGGCGATTTTGCTGGTCTTCTATACCTGGGGCATCTGGGGACCCTCTTTCCCCACTTTCCTCCTTCCCCCCAGGATCTCATTGGGATTCTGGGTCTGGCTGGGGCTTAACCCCTTCCCTCCCGCGGTTCCCGTCGGCTCCCACCGGGTCCCGGGCATTAACCCCTTCTTCCGGCCTATCCGTTCGGCCCCTTCCTCCTACAACCCTCAGGGGGACGGCAGGACTCACTGCCCTCGCTCTCTCAGGCTGCCCCACACCGTACACCTTTTCTGGCGATTTTGCTGGTCTTCTATACCTGGGGCATCTGGGGACCCTCTTTCCCCACTTTCCTCCTTCCCCCCAGGATCTCATTGGGATTCTGGGTCTGGCTGGGGCTTAACCCCTTCCCTCCCGCGGTTCCCGTCGGCTCCCACCGGGTCCCGGGCATTAACCCCTTCTTCCGGCCTATCCGTTCGGCCCCTTCCTCCTACAACCCTCAGGGGGACGGCAGGACTCACTGCCCTCGCTCTCTCAGGCTGCCCCATACCGTACACCTGGTAATGTGCTGGATGCTTTCCAACATCCACTACCTTGGTGCAGGGCAGTCTGTGGGGCGACCATGAGGTAGCCCGAGCATGACGCGGCCGGCCATCTTTGGTCCCGCGTCTACCGAGACTCCAGGGACCATGTTCCCTCAGCGGCCATCTTTAATTTCGTGAGGTTATGGACGGCCGTTTTGCTACTCTCGCCCACCACAATTTTGGCGCTTGAGAGTAAGATATACCTGGACTGTCAGTTAGCCTAGCTGCTCTTGGGCTCACGATTCTCTGACACGGACGTTGGACCCCAGGGTCCCAAGTTCTAATCCACGCAAAGGTAAGCATTCTAACCGGCCTTTTATTTACAGATTTGAGTCGTACTCGTGTATAGTGGTTTGGGGTACTGGAACCTTAAAGGGATATCACCCAAAAAAATCCCTTAAAAGGGATAGCACCCTCAAATTCTTTAAAGATACCATTCTTGGACCCTTATAGGGAACGCCTTAAAAGGATACAACTCTGGAACTACTTAAAAGGGATTCCAAATCCTTAAAGGGATAGCACCCTTGGACACAGACTATCAAGATGGTACTGTATAAGTACATATCAGTGATGGAAGATTTGAAGGGATATCACCTGGATCAGGGTTCAGGAATCTACAGCAAGACTCTATGTCTGGTAATGGATGCTCAAAGGGATGACCCCTATCATTTAAGACTACCTGTCAGAACACGACCGACGACGGAACTTAGAGCTAGTGCTATATCCTATTATCCCTCAGAGGTCAGTCACTTTTTGTCTCATTACTGCCATATTAGGCACTAAAGGGCTTATTACCCTGTGCCTGCTTGAGGTGCTACCCCTATTACCGTGCTGCTTTTTAGAGGTAACCCTGTGGCCACCTCTGTGATCCTGGGTGAGGCCCAGTTATACAAATCCCAATATTGTGGTTTGCCCTGCTGGGACAATTTGACAACACTAAGTGACAGATACAGAATACCCTGCTGGGGTTATTACACATTACTGTAATTTATACAGACCCTGCTGGGGTCCACTGGCATTATTTACACTACAACAGATACCTTGCTGGGGTACCCCATATCACACACCCTGCTGGGGTTGTTTTGGTACTTTGAGACAAATTGCACACAATAAATTTCACACTACTACACCCTGCTGGGGTCTGCATGGTGCATTGCACACAATGAAACAGATTGTGCTCTCATCCAGTCTGTTTTATTTGGCCGCGACCCACGCTTGACGGGTACATACCCTGCGCACCTGAGGTGATCTCTGACTAGGTATACGCCAATCTATTCTGCAAAAAAGGGGACAGAGTCGCAAGCTTCAGTGCAGTATATCCCTCATGGCAGTGCATTAATTATTAATAGAGCTGAAGGACACTCTTTATCAGGCTGATGGGTTCATACCCTGTGCAACTGGGGTGAGCTCCCTACAGCACTGCTGCTTCTGCTTCTACTCCTACCCCTCTCAACAGCGAGCTCGAGGATTGAAAATACGAACTTCGAATCTGGGACGGCACTTACAGGTTCAGACCCGGTGCTCTTGGGGTGAGACCGCTACGATAGGAGAGTCACACTACCCAACCAAAGGAAGTCTTACAGCAACAGCCTCTACCTACAGCTGAAGGAATACCTCCATTGATAATGAATCATGATAAGGTATGGGTTTATGCCCTGTACCTATTCTGCGGCCTGCAGTTAAAGGCCCACGCCCTATGCACTGGGCCCGGCTAGGCATGCACTGCACTAAAATGGCATGCGGTTACAACCACTGAACAGGAGTTCCGAGCCACCTACTTAACGATATATATTCCCCTTGTGGTGAATTTAATAATGGAAGAGGTGACTGACATGCTCTATCAGGGCGATGGTCAGCACTTAAGGGTTCATACCCTGTGCACCCGGGGTGAGCCCCCACTATACGAGCGCTGCACAGTGCTGCTGAACGGAGGCAATGCTATGGCAACCTCTATGTACTGGGTGAGCTCCAGTCTGTTTTATTTGGCCATGATTCTGAATAGACCCACAAGGGTTTCCGTGAACACTGCATACTGTTATAGTAGACTGATCTGTTTGCCCTGCATCCTGTGCCTAACTACTGGTTTGTGCCTTACACAGGGGTATCCTTTACTACGATAAACCTACTTGACAACATTATGCACTTGTGGCTTTGCAGCCTCTTGCTTAGAATGTCCATATCCGCTGATGGTCGGACAAACCCATGCCCTTCCATGCCGGTCAGAACGGCTCAGACGACTATAGTGACCAACGGAGGAGGTCTCTCAGGATTCACGACCTTACCATGGGCGATGCTCGACACCGCCAAACATCGTCCCGGAACAGGCATACAACTTGTGTATATGGACTCAAAAAACTGTTTCTGCTCCTTGCAGGAAACCCCAGTGTTGGCCTCTCCCATAGGATGCCCATAGCAGCACTCCTCCGCACTGACGGATGGTTGGCGGTACTGGGCGCCAAGATAGTCAGAACCCCAGGCAAAAGGCACAAAGTTCCGAAGGGAACTTATTAGACATGCAAGGGTCCCACGGCTTTCATAAGGGCCCAAACCCCTAGGAGGGAGGGAGGTGGTATGCGATTACCTTTACAAGGGATTCTTTGGAACCAGTTGGCAACAGAGCCGGTCGTCGACCAGCTACTGCTGGCTCTATTACCCATATAGAGCGAGAGTCAACCAATGGTGCTCCAGATGAGCGGACAGAAAACACGGTACGCACAGATACCATCAATATACCGCCTACTACATCCACAGGGGATTTCACCACATCTAGGTGAAAGGCACTCAATCCTGGGGAAGACCACTTTCACGAAGTCAACTGACTTGCATTCAGGACCTAAAGACACGTCAGGACGGTTTCTTGCTTCCCGCTCTTCCACCTTACCCAGTTTTCAGGGGACATCCTCTCCTTCCCGATCCAGCAGCTCGGAGCCTGGTGGGCCCTGATAAACTATAGAAAGAAGTAATGAATACAGGCGGGGAAGACGAGATACTCTCTTCCGGGAGAACCTCATTCAGATCACTCCAGTGAACTGAAAACTCGTCAACATCCACGTTCATCCGAGAACCGGCTGGAACCTTTTGTAGAGGACTATTCGCTCAGAGGATTCGTAGACTATTCCACAACTTGGGAATATTCGTACGACTCTCCGCGGCACCACTGCGACCCTGTACGTTGTATACCTAGACTTCTTGGTCCTATACTTCATAATACATGGATTGATAAAGAAGTACTAGATCGGCTGCACCCTACTGCAGGTAACCACAGATTAGGCGGTCAGTTTTCACATCCACCGCGATGGACCAACTCACGTTTATCAGACAACATGTAGGCTCCTTCGATCCACGTCTTCTTAACAGAATATCAACCAGTCTCCCGGGGGAGACACATCTCATAGGGGCCGACTGATTTGGATATTACCACTCGTCACAGTATAAGTCGATGCACGATGGTGATCGCGCTCCGTCCGACCGGACCTCCCTGGAGGACTTATGCTTCTCATGCTTACAAGGTCTACAGCAATTCTCGAGCAGGCGAGGACCTTCTCCTGCTACATTCATGACAAACAATTCCTCACGGAGCCGTAGGGTACTCACATCTTCTATTCCAGGAGAGTCGGCTAACTGGGGACCTGGACCCGCTTTGGGGGTTTCTTGGCAGGTCAGCGGACGATCGCAGGCTGCCGGGGGACCTCTTGAGAATCTGGGAACCCAGACCCTACATCTGGACATTCCCAGCCTGTCTGGTTCGGTCCAGCATCTTGATCCCTTATGTGAGGATGAAAACAGAACTGCAGCCTGTATCACTACCTGAGGACGCCCAAGGGACTAGGATCCTCTAGGATACCAACTACCCAATGTCATACCTCTCCAGCTTATGAGTTGTGGAGGTCATTCTCCTTTCACTCTACGGGACTAAACATCCTGCTGACAATCGGTCAGACTTGGTCTTGTATAATTTCTCATTAGATGGTTTATACGTGGGCGCTCAACGGGGAAGACCTCCCCACAACGCCAAATACTGGGTCTCTTGGCACACCGTAGGACTCTTATTTAGTTCTATACTCTTTTCTCAGCGTTAAAAATGCAAAATACGAAGCCTCCTGTCATGTGGTAAAATTGATTATGCTAGCTTTAGTGTACTAATAATCTTAATTTTAATAATGACAGGAGGCAAGTATTTTCCCCCCCCCCCCTTTCTATTAGTTTGCTTTGCAGAGATCAGGTGCTAAGGTAGGTTTGCCTCTCACATTGGTGCTTATATGATATGTTCGTACTTCCATTAATATGGAATCCTCATTAGAGTTCTCATTACAATTACTCAGTTATCAGATTATAGTATACTATATTCTCCAATGGGATGTAAGGTGGTACGTTAATTGGAGTTACATGTTCATAACCATGTCTAAACCTGTCACACATTCTCTTTTCAGTATGATTCGTCTCTGAAGATAATTGGCAGTTCACGTGAGAAACTATTGGAGATTTTATCCTTTGGTTTTGTCTCAACCCTGAACTCTTTTTCTTTGTTCGTATAGAATTCTTTGGAAGTTTGCTCCTTTGCACATGGGAACTTGGAGTTATTATTAGTTTTATTATTTGCTATATATTTACTTCTGCTTGTTGTCGCTTTCTGAAAGAGGAAATGATAAGGTCACATTGCCTTGTGTACATCCTGCTCTCCTGTGATTGGTTCTTTTTTCTATGTGTTTCTCTTTACTGCTGTATGGAGTTAGTAAAGAGAGATATGCAAAATACTCGCCTCCTGTCATTATTAAAATTAAGATTATTAGTACACTAAAGCTAGCATAATCTTCAATTGTTGAACATCTAAAATCACATGGAATTCAAAATCAGAGACAACATGGGTTTACTTCAGGGAGATCATGCCAAACATATAAAAAAAATAATAGATCAGGGTGGTGCAGTATTGCTTACCTAGATTTCAGTAAGGCTTTTGATACTGTTGCACACAGAAGGTTTATCAATAAACGTAAGTTTGGATTCCAATATTGTTGAATGGGTAAGGCAGTGGCTGAGTGACAGGCAACAGAGGGTTGTAGTCAATGCAGTATATTCGAAACTTGAGCTTGTCACCAGTGGGGTACCTCAGGGATCTGTTCTTGGACCCATTCTCTTTAACATTTTTATTAGTGATATTGCAGAAGGTCTTGATGGTAAGGTATGTCTTTTTGCGGATGATACTAAGATATGGAACAGGGTTGATGTTCCAGGAGGGATAAGCCAAATGGCAAATGATTTAGGTAAACTAGAAAAATGGTCAGAATTGTGGCAACTGACATTTAATGTGGATAAGTGCAAGATAATGCATCTTGGACGTAAAAACCCAAGGGCAGAGTACAGAATATTTGATAGAGTTCTAACCTCAACATATGAGGAAAGGGATTTAGGGGTGATTATTTCTGAAGACTTAAAGGTAGGCAGACAATGTAATAGAGTAGCAGGAAATGCAAGCAGAATGCTTGGTTGTATAGGGAGAGGTATTTGCAGTAGAAAGAGGGAAGTGATCATGCCATTATACAGAACACTGAGACCTCACTTGGAGTATTGTATGCAGTACTGGAGACCGTATGCTACAAAGAACCATTGAAACAAAATGAATATGCTATAAAATAGTAAAAATAAATAAAATCTCAATTTAATTACCAAAAACCTGCTCTTTCATAATGTTGAAAAAACACACAAATAATCTTAAGTAATTAGAATCAAATGTACCTGTGTGTAACACCAGCTTTCAGCTACAGGCCCACTTGACATCTCAGCCGGGGGAGGTGGTGAGGGTACTGTAGACATGGTCACACGTAGGCAATTGTTTTCAATATGAAAGAAAGCTTTGGTTCTAAGTCTTGTTGAAAAAAAAAATATATATATATATATGCAAGTTAATACAATCGCAAATAAAGTGATACTCAACTCAAAATGAAGAATTGGAATTTAGACTCTTTAGAAAAGTAAAAGGATGGGTGATATCCAGCTGATGAATGACTTATATACAGAAATTTTTTTTTAGAAAACTCGCATGGATACATCTAAAAAGGACAATGAAACTGTAATGCGAGTTGTATGCTGCTTAATAGGATTGAAACAACCTTTGCATGAACATTTTTCTTCATTTCTTGCCCCTGCATTTATGCAATGGTGTGGTGACCTTGTCACAGCAGTATCTCAAACTACTCCAGAGCAGAAGCCAGGAACTGTGGCTTAAGAGCACAAGAGATGAAGCAATTTATCTTAAATATATGTAAAAAGAAAAATGAAATATAAAAAAGTTTATTTCTTCATTGAATCCAACAGTATTTTAAACAAACATTCATAAAAAGAAAAGAAACAAAATGCATCACAAGTCAAATATTAATGTTAAAAAAAAGTATTTATAGCAGTTTAAAAAAAAAAAAAAAGTATAGAGTTGGCAAGAAGAATATACATTTGGGTGAAGTACATGATTCTTGTTAAAATTAAACAATATCAGATTACGTAAAAATATACCAAATAGAATATGAAATGCTAGAAAAAACCCATGGAAACACAAATCTGTTCTCTTGGCGGTCTTCCTCCAGCTGTTGACACAATGGAGGAAATGTATCAAAGTGTTTGGCAAAAATGTAAGTGGAGGAGTCACTAACGCAAAGTGCCTGGTGATTCCACTGTTTTGCATGGTGATTGCGCCACTTTTAGTGAGGGCAATCACAACTATGCTTCAATGCTTTTCTATGGGGATTTTACCGACGCTGGATCTCCTCATACAATGTGTATCCTGAGACAGTCTGCATGTAGCTTATAACTGCAACAATTTGTAAAATTGTAGCTATAAAATCGATCAGGTCTTACATATTATATTATTATTTATAAGTACTCAAGAAAGCGCCCATCTGAAAGGCTAAGATTCCAATGAGCTGCAAGCGGAGTATTTTGAGCAGTACTTTCATTCACATCTATTAAAGAATGAAACAGCTGATCAGTGGTAAGGCGGATGTATTTATGGGATATTCCCAGCACTCTCCGTTAAAAAAAAATAAAAAAAATAAAAAAATGGAAGGGATAGGATTGGCTGCATGAATTGAACGGCTCCGTAGAGTAGAGAGGGTGTTCACTGCAATAAGATGCCAAGTCTGGGTCAAACAACAACTAAACATGAAGGTCATATTGTATTCTGCTCTGTCCCTTTAAACAGGTTTACTACATCCTGGCTGCAGCAGACTAGGTAATTCATGTGAAAGAGAAACAAAGAAAAATAAAAGGTCTTAAAAATACTATTAATTTTACACATGAATGAGCAAATTCGTAGGAAAAAAATAAATAGTAAATCCAGGCAGATTAAGAATGTTCATAAATTGCGTACATGAACTAGGGATCGACCGATTATCGGTTTTACCGATATAAATCGGCCGATATTCAGTATTTTCGGCAATATCGGTATCGGCCAATTCAGATACCGATATTGCCGATAATACCTCCTAGGACCGCCAGGCTCATTACAAGCCCGGCGGTCTTGGGGGGGAGCGGGCATCAAGCGCTTACTCACCTCCCAGCAGCTCCTCCAGCTGTACTGGGGAGCTGGAGGAGCTGCTGGGAGGTGAGTAAGCGCTTGATGCCTGCTCCCCCCCAGAGCTCAGCCAATACCACTGGACCACCAGGGACTGCTATATCCCCCTCCCTGGCCAGGTATGAAACAGGGAGGAGGGACAACAAAAATAAATATTAAATATATATATATAAAAAAATGTAATAAAAAATGCCCCCCCTCACACACACACTCCATTATATACACATACACTACACAAACACACTGTGTATATAATGCAGTGTGTTTGTATAGTGTGTGTATATAATGTAGTGTTTGTGTAGTGTGTTTATATAATGCACACTACACAAACACACTACACACTGCATTATATACACACACACACACACACACTACACAAACACACTGTGTATATAATGCAGTGTGTATACAATACAGTGTTTGTGTAGTGTGTGTATACAATGCAGTGTTTGTGTAGGGTGTGTATATAATGCAGTGTGTGTATATATAATGCAGTGTGTGTATAATGCAGTGCGTGTATACAATGCAGTGTTTGTGTAGTGTGTATAATGCAGTGTGTGTAGTGTGCGTATATAATGCAGTGTGTTTAGTGTGTGTATATAATTAATGCAGTGTGTGTTTGCATAGTGTGTTTATATAATGCACACTACACAAACACTGCATTATATATACACACACTATACAAACACACACACTCTGCATTATATAAACACACTACATTCGTTATATACACTACATAAACACACACACTTTGCATTTAGTATATACTGCATTCACTTTACACACACTACCCACACACTACACAATCACTCTGCTTTCATTATATACACACACTACACTAATACACACTGCATCCACTACACACTAGACAAATACACACTGCATCCACTACACACTAGACAAACACACACTGCATCCACACACACACACTACACAAACACACACTGCATCCACTACACACACTACACAAACATACACTGCATCCACTACACAAACACATACAGCTCCCCTGTCTAAACACACTGTATCCACTACACGTGGCATGTATATTTTGTGCATTTACCTTTAGAAATAGTTTTTATTTTCCAAAATGGTAAATGTACAGAATATCGGCAAATTATATCGGCTATCGGCCTGAAAGTTAACGGAATATCGGTATCGGCTCTAAAAAATCAATATCGGTCGATCCCTAACATGAACTAATTTAAATGGCTGCCCAATGGTCCTTATCTCAAAATGCCATATGTAAAAGAACACTTCTGCAAAAAAATGAAATTTTTTAGGGCAGTGCATCTATATCCTCAACATGAAGCTTTTATTAGGCTGGCCTGCGCAGTCACTCACTGCTCTGTGGACTATAAAGCTAACCTTCATAGGAAAATCATTAGAGGTGACCCCAACTCTCTCTCCTATACAAATGTGAATATACGAATCTTCTTCTACAAGAGCAAACGTCACCAACCAAAAAGGCCATGCACAGACAAGCCTTTCCTGATTTTTCTCAAACTGTGCAGCTCTAAGAAAAATAAAAAAACAGATAGGAAAACCCAATACATTCCTAGAACGAACCCACCTACTACAAAAGTATTGTACAAATCATTAGGGCTAGGCCACAGATCATGCTGCCGTGGAGATCAATTTGTAAGTGGAAGTTTATAGTGGAAAGCAATATTTAAGTCTGGCTCGTATATAAGCATATGTAGGTGATGGAGGTGCGCTCAATCCTTCGTCTGGAATTCAGGATGCTCTAGTGGATAAGTCCCAGTACCAAAAAAGGACCAATTGAAGCATTTGAATATAAAGAATAATCCAGGCACTCCAGCATATTCCAAAATGTAGGCAATCTTTATTGGAACAAGGAACCAAAAAGCAACATTTCGACCCCTTAAGGCCTTTGTCTTTTGCTTTACAAAGGCCTTAAGGAGGTCAAAACATTGCTTTTGGGTTCCTTGTTCCAATAAAGATTGCCTACATTTTGGAATATGCTGGAGTGCCTGGATTATTCTTTATATTCAAATGGCTTGTATATTAGGACTTAAAATTGTTAGATCTGCTGTCAATTTTTGTAAAAACTATGAACAGTAAATAGTACTTCTCTATAAGGGCAGCCAGTGTTAGGCAGGGTGCCACAGCCAACACTCTCAGCCTATAATTGGTCACAGAGAAAAACCATCGTCATAAGCCAGTGGCAGAGAAGAATGAAAATAGGGGGAAGCAATGCTAAAAATTCAGGGGACAAACTTTGAGATTAAATAGTTGGAAGTAGTTTAAACACTGAAGGTAAGACAATGCCCAGACACTCTTATCCCTATAACAACTTCAACAAGCTATGGGTTGGTAGTGTTCCTTTTATATAAAGATTGATTCATGGTTTTGTGAGTTGGACTGGGTGGTCTACCAAGCTGACAGCCACACATGCACTTTACTACAGCTCACCTCTCCCTTCCTCTGACATGTGAGAGACAAGTTGTTATGAAGTTCAGAGTGATCCTTTAATGTTAAACTCAGCCATTTTTTTATTTTATTGTTTTTATTTGTAAGACCACCCTTCTCACAATGAAGGGTTTCCTTTTTGCAGTTAGGAGGATATGCAGTTTTGCACTCAACAGCTCATGAGAAAAACCATGAGTGAAACGGTTGCCTGAGGTGTGCCGATATGCAGTGTGGCTGTGATTACACTGCCTAATAGATAGCTCCATTCATGGTTTCATTGACTGTTTACCTGAGGCACCAACTTTCTGTTAAGCAGCCACCTATAAATTGAAGGCATTCTAACAAGTAAGTGTGTGGGTCAGATGGTGCTTTGTGTTTGCTTGAAGTGGTTGGGATATAGTGGCTGTTATACTTGCAGTGTGTGGCAGTAAATAAGATGTAAATCGAAGCAGGACCAGGGGAACTCCTCACCCCACGGCCTAGGTTATGCACACATCCTTAGACTTTCCCACCATCCATTACAGCATCATATACACCTCTATACAGGAAGGGAACAGAGTGTCTAGCTATTCCAAACACCTTATTTTACTCTTAAAATTGATGGAGCCTTATTCGGTCATCTGAATGATTCCCTCCTCATCAAGCAACATCAAAAAAAGCATATGATAATCTTTCTCCTGGCTCATTTCCATTATAAGAAGCTCTAGATTTTGGCCTCTAAAGTTTCAAAACTTGTCAAACCTTGTACAGTGTGGAACATCAGATATCAATTTATGTTGTGACTTACCTCTATTATCTCACCATAATTTATGCACTGTGCTAAGAAGAAGAGATATCCGAGCACTGCATGGCAACATTAACTCCCCAGCTGCTTAGAGGACCTTATCAATACAAGATCCTAATACTCTAAATTCCACCTATAAAAAGAGAATATAGTGGTGATCAGAAAAGTGAAGCAATCACCCATGGAATTTATGTAGTTGCTGATACCATTCAATCCTATGTTGACCATCCCACTTTTACCATTCATAATGATTTTATAAATTTCCTCTTGTCCAATGATAAGACCCTGCGTAGGACCCTAATTGATCTATACAAAACCCCCATTTAGGAAATGCATCTATATTTGGAGAATATAGACAGTTTTCCTAACATGCCAAGTTCATTCAGGCAGCGTGACATTGGATGTATACCAAAAGGATAAAACATATCAACGTGCAAACATTGATACAACCTAAAACAATAAATATATTTTAGTCTGTAAAGTCACTATTTGCATCACGGTTTCCCGGAGATGAATAACATTTGCTAACATTCAAAATGCAGCATACACTTGGTCCAAAAGAGATTAACAAAATAAAAAACACAACCACACACGACAAGGAAATATGAACTATTTACAAATAAGGAACAAGCTGGGAAAAAAATTAAATGCACATATTTACTTCACATGAAAAAATAATAATAGCCCACCTTCTACAGTGATTGCCATTAGTAAGTGGAATAAAATATTAATATTTTAGTTTTATCTGAATCACATAATTAAGAACTGCTGTGACAGTTACTAAAAATGTACTATTAAAAATGAAAGATGTTTTTTGCATGTGGCCAAATGTTCAGGTAATAACACAATACAATACAGCTATATACACTGCAAAACACACAAAAACCTTACTGCCTTCTTCTGTCAAGCAGCACAACACTGAGGTTCATTCATCAAATAGGAAACTGTGGTCACGGGCCAAGGGAACTGCAAAGTTTAGGCCAAAGTAGCTGAATTGTAAACATTTTCTAAGCTAGCATTTTCTGCAGTTTGGCACCTTTCAAATCCCCTAGTCAATCTATTACAATTCCCAGATTAGTGGATAAAACCAGCTCAGCTTTGCTTTGTTCTAATAAACTTAGATTTTATTAATGCTAAATATAAGGGACTGCTCATTCAGAATGCTTCCACTAATTAAATAGCAGTAAATTACTCGAGGTGTGGTCCATAGGCCAACCATGCACATGTATAAATTTAATATTTCATTTATTTTCAAGACTTCACAAGTCTAGACAAATATCCCTTCATTCTGCAATGTTGGGGGGTTTTGTATATCCCAGTGTAAACGTTAGGGAAGGTACTCACAAAGGTCTTTTAATGGTAGCAGGACTTCAAGTAACACACATAACTCCTACCAGCCTTTCTGACAAGGCTGAGGATGATAAGTGTCAGAATCTTAGCACAACCAAGAAGAATGCCACTTATGTCTGACGTTATTACCCGAAGGGTTATTCACTGAAGAGTGTATGCTTAGGAATTCCAACTGATTTGTGTTTAGGCAGAAAAACAAAAACAAAAAAACAGTGAATATACAGAGCTATCAGGGATACGTTTTAGAATTCTTATTAGACCTAAAATAAGAAATGTATACTTTGATGAATAACACTATGCAAATTCCATACAATCATTGGGTCTATTCACTAAACAACATAATTATTTGAAAATAAAATTTCAAAAATAGAAAAAAAAATAAAAAAAAAATTATATGTATATATATATAAATAAATAAATAAATAATAATAATAAAACTATGTGATTATCGTTTGGCCATTTTAGCCTTAGTTTCATAATTTGATTGTAGCCTACAGTTATTCGGTAAACCAGGAATATTAATTTTTTAGCTGAATAAAAAAAAAATATATATATATATATATATATATATATATATATATATATATATATATATAAAATAAAAAAAAGTTTTCTGACAACTATTTTGGCTTAACATGTTCTAATTCCCATTTAAATGAATAACTATTATAAACATACAAAATAAAATAAAAAGGAGACCTGATACACATACACAAATCATTTGATCCTTCACCTTTTTTTGTTTGCTATTTTAATTTTGTATCCTTTCTTGTTTATCTGGGCCTCAGACATGACCCAAGTTAACAGGATACTGAATTTAAAAAACAAAACCACTTTATTTAAAATTAAATAATTTCCACATTCATACCCTACACCAGCCTATTGGCCAATGACTGGCTGAACTTTGGCCCTCCAGCTGTGAGGAACTAAACTTCCCAGCATGCACTGTGGGTGTTATTAGTCCACCACAGCTGTAATCCTTTCAAGCAGCCTGACAGAGCATGATGGGAGTGATAGTCCTGTCACAGCTAGGGTGATGACCTCTCAGCCACCCTCACATTATACAGATAGGTGTAAATCAATAGTTAGCCCCAAGAGCTTACAATCTGTTTGGCTGTCATTAAGAGGAAGAAGTAGAGAAATTGCTGCCATTGCGGGTTTTACCTGCCAGAGTTGGGGTGCTGTATGTGGAGTTGTTCCCGGGATGGTCATGATCCCAGGGTCACCCCCCTCCCCTCCTCCTCCTCCTCCTCCTCCTTCTATATGTCACTATAGGATGTGGCCCAGTCCCAGCTCAAGGCCTCTGGATCCCCAAAGTGCTGACCGTTGCTATGGTAACCGCCGCACCGGCCGCCGCCCCATCCTGCTAACTGAACTGCCCCGACCGGCTCGGGACAGCCCCGCTCGTCGTCGTCTCCCCCCGCTCCTCTCCGGGTTCCGTAGTTTAGTCCCGATTTGGACGGGCTTTAAAAAAAAATAAAAAAATAATCCCCGCGCATGCGCACGCGGCCGGACATGCACAGCGCAGACACCGAGCGAGGGTGGCCAGCCGCGCATGCGCGGGGCTGTCAAAGCCGCCGCTGTGGACAAGCGCAGGGAGACGGAACGAGTGGGGCGCACGCGCAGTGCGGCCGGACGGTTTCCCTATTGGCTCTCTGCGATGGTCAGACGGGAGCTGGCGTCTGCGCGTGCGCGGGTGGCACTGATTAAGCTGTGATTCATTTTATTCATTAATTTATTTATTTTTCTATTTAAAAAAATATAATTTTTTTTTTACATAGATTACAGAAAAGCACTAATTGTTCTCTAAATTATTTTGAACCCTAGCCTATGAATTGCTTTGGATTGTAAAATTATCTAAATTAAAGGGACACTATGGGCACCCAGACCACGTCAGCTCAATGAAGTGGTCTGGGTGCCAGGTCCCTCAGGTTTTAACCCTTCACATGTAAACATAGTTTCAGAGAAACTGCTTTGTTTACATTTGGGGTTAATCCAGCACATTTCGCCTCCATTGCGCAAAGCGTCCATAGGAAAGCATTGAGAAATGCTTTCCTATGGACACTTAGAATGCGCGCGCAGCACTTGCCGCGCATGCGCATTCGGCTCCGCTGACGTCGGATGGGGTTTTAACGCCACGGGAGGGGGACCCTGAGGGTGGGGGCACCTTCAGGGCACTAAAGTGCCAGGAAAACCTCTTTGTCATCTTAAAGGAACACTTTAGTGTTAGGAATACAAAGATGTATTTCTAACATTGTGTTCCTTTGCCCCCACCACCCCCCACTCCCTAATTTATTCACTTACCTGATTCCAGCTCTGAGGTCCCTTTGCCTCGTGAGGATGTTCAGCGTTGTTTGACAGGGTCATACTCCATGAAACCACAGGAAGTGCCTCTAGTGGCTGTTTGGTAGAAAGCCACTGGAGGCAGTCTCAACCCTGCAATGTAAACATTGCCGTTTCTCTAAAATGGCAATGTTTTATATTGAAGGGCTAAAGGAGCAGGGGCACTGCACCCAGACCACTTTGATGAGATATTGTGTCCTTTTAAAGGGACACCAGTAGCGTCAACAGAGTTATAGTTGCCCAAGGTAGAAGAAAATTGTATCCCTATTCCCCCATGTACTACCACCAGCCCCTATCAACCCTGCCCCTATGTTTGTAAGTCTAAATCAACACATGTAAAAACAATAGTATTTGTTGATAAAGTGCATTGCAATTTTTTTATAAACAAACACTTTGTATGCAATAGAAAATAATTATTGACACATTTAAGCATGTTTTGTGTATTTGAATGTCTGTATGTATGTATTTGTGTGTAGTGTTGGCATTTGAATGTAGGTGTATGTTTGTATTTACTGTTGCCATATGAAAGCAGTAGTGTACTTTTATTTAGTGATTGTGTTTAAACGTGTTTGTATGTACAGTTGGTGTTTGATTGTTGGGTGAGCATACACTGCCCAGGAAATGCACATTGAAACACACACAGATACACACTGACACAATATGACTCAATGAGAGACACAATATTAATGATTTGAAATACACTCACTGGCAGACACAGTCACTTTTAGACAAACACTTACTGACAGACACACTGACAGACACGCTGACACACTCATTGATTTGAAACATACTGATTTGCAGACACACACACATACACTGACAGACACACACTTACAGAAAAACTCACTGAAATACACATTCTCACTGACAGACACACTCTCACTGACTAGGGATCAACCGAATATCGGTTTTGCCGATATCGGCCGATATTCAGATTTTTTGTAAGTATCAGTATCAGCCAATAATCACCAGCAATAGGGATAATGAGGTGGACCAGCGGGTCCATAAGGCGGCACAATCAGCCGCCTTTGGGTGCACCGGCCCGGGGGGGCTCTAGATTATAATGACCGGCAGGAGGTGGGCGCACATTGCTCCCTCCTGCCAGGCACTCTGTGTAGCGTGGCCGAGCGGAGCAGTGTGCACCGCGGTACAGGAACTTATGTTTCCTGTACCTGGCCAGACTGAAAGGAAGTGCTCACTGAGAGAGCATTTCCTGTCAGTCCGGCAGGGTACAGGAGACTGAATCTCCTGTACAGCGGTGCGCACCGCTCGGCCACTCTACCAGGAGACACACCAGGTACCAAGGAGGGGGGACACCATGGGGCATTATGGGACGGGGCAGTGGTAAGGATCACTATGGGACGGGGGTGGTAAGAATCACTATGGGACAGGCGGTGGTAAGGGATCACTATGGACTGGGGTGTAGAACACTATGGGACAGGGGTGGGGGGTGGTAAGGAACACTATGGCGGAGGGAGGTGGTAAGGAACACTATGGGGGAGGCGGATGGAAAGGAACACTATGTAAGGGGGATGGTAAGGAACCCTATGGGACAGGGAAGGGGGAGTGAAGAACACTATGGGACAGGAAAGGGGGGAAAGAACACTAGGGGGGAGATAGGAACATTAAGGGAGAACACTAAGGTACAGGGGAGGGTAGAGAAAAGGAACACTGTGGTGGGGGGGACCACTAATAGAGAAGAGAGAGGCAAATTAAGGGGAATGGGGGGCACTAAGAGACAGGTAAGGGGGGGCACTAAGAGACATGTAAGGGATGGGGGGGGGAGTTCCTATCGCAGATATTTACACACAAACACACACACTGAATCCACTACCCACACTGCATCCACTACACAAACACATACACACACTGCATCCACTACCCACACTGCATCCACTACTCAAACAAACACATTGCATCCACTACCCACACTGCATCCACTACACTGCATCCACTACCCACACTGCATCCACTACACAAAGAAACATATTGCATCCACTACACAAACACACATACACACACACTGCATTTTCTAATCAAATACTCTCACTGCATCCACTACACACACATATAAATATTCTTGAAAACATTAAAAAAAACAATCTGACTGGCATGTATATTTTGTGCATTTACAACTTAATAAAAAAAAGATTTTCAAAAATAAATAAATACGGTAAATGTACAGAATATAGGTAAGCTATCGGCTATCAACCTGAAAGTTCACAGATTATCGGTATCGGCTCTAAAAAATCAATATCGGTCGATCCCTATCACTGACAGACACACTCACTGACATAAACACACACATATACACAGACAAACACACTCATACATTCTTGCACACACACTCACAAATTAATTTTATTTATTGTGGTTTTATTTTTTTTAGGCCCATTCTTCCTCCCTACCTTTAGGAGAGCTAGTGTGGGTCATTTCCCTGGGGACAAGGCGGGGCTCCTGCAATCTATCAGGTCCTCACACTGCTCCCTCGTGCGTTGTTTATTGATTCCTGGGCTATGGAATATTTTGGATCCCGGCATCACCACAGAGGGTGCCCGAGGGAAAAGTGTGAGGACCTGGGAGATCAGCCATCCCTCGCTGCCACCACCCCAGTATATTTCGGCAGTGTAGGCACCTGCAATCCCGGTAAGCAGGTGCCTTCTCTGCCTGACAATATAAGTGCCTGCCCTAAGGTGGCCAGTCAGCCGGAAGAACACTATAGCATTAGTAATACAGACATTTCCTGGTTTACAAACTCACGCTTTACATTTTCCCACCTTTACGAACGCTTTCCGGACATTTTCTTTTGCCGATATTTTGTTTCAGCGCTCCGTGGATGCAGACCAAGGAGCATGCTTGGGAGCATAGAAAATAAGAATTTGTGGCCAGGAGAAGACAAGAAGAGAAAAAGGTAAGTGTAAAAAACGGGTTTGTGTGTGTGTGGCTGAGATTGATGTCTGTTTTGGTAATTATTTACATGTCCTTCTCATTCCTTCAAGCGACATGACTGTTTGAATGTCATGAGACTGTGCTGTCCTCTGCATTTCAGAAGAGATGGGGTTTATATTCATCACTGGCAGTGAAGGGAATACGATATGTTTGCTGGTTTTTTATTTTGTACTTCATTATTGCTGTACCTGGTGCTATAATGACCCAGACTACACAAGTTTACACTGTGATGTAGTTTTAGGAACAGTTTGTGTAGTTAGGACTGCTTTGTATTATGGTGTACTCACCTGAAGGTGCTGTGAACTGTAACAGCCAACTCAAGGTACACCTGAAACTCTATTAGTTCCAACGGAGTTGGAAACAGAAATTGAGAAATGAAAGCCAACATATATTTGCTATGCTTTCATTTTGTATTTGTACTTAATAATTTAGGTTTTCAATGGTAAAACTTCTTGGTCAGGAACAAAACCCATGTTTATTATATTGCGGTGTATGGGAAATTAGTTCTCACTTTATGAACTCTCACTTTATGAACTAGGTTTCGGAACCAATTAGTTTGTAAAGTCAGGAACTACCTGTACTTATTTCTATTCCTAATTCTATAGTGTTACTTTAACCCCTTAAGGACACAACTTCTGGAATAAAAGGGAATATTTCCGTCATGTGTCTTTAGGGGGTTAATGTTGTGGTTTGAAGGAAGGATGGAATGGTTTTGATTTTTCTAGTTTTCCTACTTCTCAATTTTTGTTACATCTGCTTTATTTTATAAAAAAAAATGTATATGTGTGTCTATGCTAATACTGCTAATCTTTTCTGAAAATATACAGGATAAGGGACTATGATGAATCACTAAAACATCTCTCCATGAACAATTCTATGACAAATTAAATTCATGTAACTGTGCATAATTGTATTGTTGTTTCCCTCAACAGCAATCTATGGCCTAAATTACTGTTTCCTTTGTTTATGTGCCATTTGTACATCCTCTATTTCAAAGTGTACTTTTTTTCCGATTAAGTTTAGTTTGGTAGGGAGGAGGTTAAAACGTCCATTAAACTATTTTCCATCCATCTCGGCTTGATGACGAAATCAATTTTTTTAAAAACATTTAATTAGACATGAATATTAATTAGCATGACCTTTACTTGCTCATTATATGTTTAATTAAACATAAGTACCATTTGCTTTAAATA